GTTGAAGTAAGTCTCACTACGGTACTCTTCAAAGGTTTGTTTTAGAGCTCCAATGAGATCAACTGCTTTTGACAGATCTAACTTAGGAGACTAAAGCATGTCTGATAAAAATTTTGTGCTACCAAGAACCTTCTTAAAGACTGACAAAAGCCCAGTGAAATTCAAATCAATCTGACCAAGTAACCCCCTTGCTTCTACAGCCCTATCAGGATGTTTTTCCTCTGATATGTCCTCAAGCACTCTCTTGACAGCTGACAATCGATCCATTAAGTTTCGACAAGTTATGTACCTGCATGCCCACCTGGTATCACTCAACCTCTGGAGCTCTCTTGGTGCACCCTCAAACATCTCACTCTGCACTTTAAGCCATTTGTGGTGAACATATGAACTGGAAAAGAAAACATACAGCCTCTCAAGTAAGGAAAAAAAACGTGCCGCATCTGGAACTGACTTCGCACAGTCCACAAGAACAAGCTTTAAACAATGCGCACTACAATGTACATAGAATGCATGTTTTGCTACCTTTCTAATTCTTGTTTGTATTCCAGTGTTCTGACCACTCACTACAGAGGCACCATCGTACCCTTGTCCAACAAGGTTTTTCCTGTAATCCAATCCACATTTCTCTAAGATCCCAACTATTACATTTGTTAACCCGGCAGCATTTAATTTCCCCACTTCTTGGAATTCCAAAAAACTTTCATGCACCATTCCATTATAATAGTACCTCAGCACAAAGGAAATCTGTTCTTTTTTTTCAGATCCTTTGTCTCATCTGCTATAACAGCAAATTGCTCACTCTTCTTTACCTCCTCAATAATTTCATCACGCACCATTCCGGCTAAACATTCCAGGACTTCATTTTGAATTGTATTGCTTGTGTATTTTGCATTTTTTGCACGATGTGTCAACTGTTTGTTCACATTTGCATCATGTTTACCAATTAGATGTAAAATCTCTAAAAAAAATTCCCTCTGTTTGATGATGCTGCTGATTCATCGTGGGCTCGCTGGGCAATGTTCTGTGTAGCTGTCAGGAGGAGAACTTCAGCTAAAGTTTTCACAAAATTCTGATTTTCAGTAACCTTTTTTTTATGGTCATGAATCGACAAAATGCAATACTTTTAAATATCAAACCAAATCACCAGTAGGTGGCGCAAGTCACTGGCTTAATAATTGACTCGTTCGATTAATTCAAAAAAGCTGAATCATTCAAGATTAAGAACGAAACACTGTTGTGTGTCTCTCGAACACGGCAACAGTTCGCCGGTGGCTTTGTTTAGAACTATTTTCGTTGGATAAATAGAGCCTAAACAGTCACTATTGTTTCTAAAATGTAGGCTAAGTCAATTAATATTAACTAAATGTCACACTTGCAATCGTCCTGATCATCACTCTTGGTCGCCTGATGTTGTTGCTTATATCATTTTATAAATATCTTTTTCGCAGTATATATGCTTTTGTAACCTGTGAGTTTCTTTGTGTGTTGTTGTGCTCATTTGTCTTATGTCTCCGCGAGTCTTTCACACACTGCGAGCCTCAGTTGGAGCAACGAGTACTGTTGAGTACGAGTTGAGTACTGTCAATACTTTGTCCATTAACTGTTGCCGTTTACACTACTGTGTGTATGAATGTAATAACTTGCCCCTTCAGAAAATATGTACATAATCTGCATAATGTGTACATTCTTACATAGCCTATTGCGTGCTAGCGTTTGGCCACAAAAAAACTATGGGAAGCCAAACACACCGAAAGTGGGACGAAACAGCGTGGACTTCTGCGGAAAGTAGCCTAATATTAGCGCCGCGCTGTCAGTTCGGTGGCGCTAGTAAACACGTCCTCTCTGCGCTGAGTCGGTCGCGCAGCTCGGTCCATTGAGCCGCGCCGATGACAGGTCAGCGCGGCGCGAACACTTACATATACATATACACATACTGTTTCGTCCCACTTTTGGGTTGTTTGGCTTCCCATAAAAAACCAAGACGCCTCGACTTTCAAAAAAATCCTCGCTTCAGTCAAAATCACGCTGCACTCCACTTGCTCTCCACTCCTCGCTCCGCTCACATACTCTGCTTTGGGGTGGCAAAGTTCATTTTTAGGGTGGCAGCTGCCACCCCGTGCCACCCAACTGACTGAGAGATTACGTCGGACATGAGATTCTTTCGTGTTTATTTCGCGTTATAGCCTAACTATAGAAAAGAGAAAGTGATGCGCATTTACTCAGCGCAGATGTTCTCCGGAACTCTTCCACTCAGTGTTCGAATTGTGTCAAAGCTCTTGGGGGGGTCCCCCTAACCAGCCCCCCACCCCCTTCACAAAAAATAAATAAAATAAAAATAAAATAAAACTTTATATACATATGATGCATATTTTTTGTCTTGTCCTCGTTATTATTAAGAAAACCTAATTCTAAGATAAAAGATAATTTTACGATGATCAGTGAATTAGGTGTACCAAACAATCACTAAGCAAAGAAGAATTAAATATCTAGCCTAGGGGTGTGCGATGTTGACAAAAATATGATATCTCTATATTTTCTGGGATTTTATCGATAATGATCGATAATTAGACAATATTTTGCTCAGTGTGTTGCGCTGCAGGTCTGCCATGGACAGCTGACTCTGTGTGGTGGTCAATTCACAGCAGTGACAGAAATTAATCTTTTCCAACCAGTTTAAATTGATTTTTACCCTTTATGGGCATTTTTACCTTTGTAAAGCCATTTTTTTCTAGAAGTGTGTCAAATTCTTACATTTAACCAATAAAGTCAATTACAATCGTAATTCGTATGGAGTCAAATCAATGCCACACTTTTAGTTCCATATGACATACAAACATTCAGCAGTCATGGTTCTCTAGAGCTGCGGTTCTCTGTGCTGGTATAGGGGTACTCTGGCCCAGTAAAGCTTATCCTTTTCTGTAAAAGGCAATTTCCTCCATAATCACTCTCTGATGCCCCTGGAGGACAGTAAAAGTGATCAATGAGTGTCATTCATCAGAAAGGCTAGTAAGGAAAGCTTGTTTTCCAGTTCAGCTTTCATGTAATGAAAATGCTAAGGGAATGCATGTTTTTTTCTATTAAAAAAAGAAGAAAGAAACAGATAATTAACAGTTCTCTGTGAACTTAAACCTGATAAAGACTCCTGAAGGGGGCTAAATAAATAGAAGCCAGTGCCCATAGCAGCTCTCTTTTTACTTACTGTGACGGTATCATATTTTGTCATGTAAGTTAGACATATAATTTGGGCCATATGAATTCATTTACAAAACAAAAATTTCAATAAAAATTACAAATATATGCTCGCAGTAGATATTGTTTGAAACTGAATAAATCTAACTTTGACTTAGATATTCTCAGTGGTTTCCTTCTTTATAGTAGCACAGCAGGAATGGTCTGTTTAGTTAAGAGGGTGTGGCCATTTATGCTTTTATTCTGGACTTACTGACATTTCAAGGTATTAATCAGTCAGCCATGATTATTTTTTCATGATCCTATGCCTTCATCCATATATATTTTTTTATTCATTTATTTAAAAAGCCATATTTCATAATTATATATTGAAAATGTAATAGACAAAATCTAAATGGATGGTACAAGCTATATTTATTGCTTTACATATATATATATATATACACACACAGTAAGCTCAAACACCTAGAACATTCATGTTTAAATGAACGACAAATGTTTAAATAGGAACAACATTTAAATGATAAAGTCATGACAAATCATTACTCACAATCATACCAAAACAAGGCAGGGCATTTCAACAATCATAAATCAACAAATGAATTAATCATAAAAAAAATAAAAAATAAAAAAAATCATTTGTAAATCACAGACACAAAGGTGGTGCCACAAACATCAAGCATATGTAGTCACATCTCATTTCAACAGGACAATAAACAAATACAGTAACTCTCTGGTGACCTGAAGCTAAGTGGATGGAGAACCCCCCCCCCCACCCCACACACTA